TTATTATTATTATTATTATTATTATTATTATTATTATTATTATTATTATTATTATTATTATTATTATTATTATTATTATTATTATTATTATTATTGTTATTATTATTATTATTATTATTATTAGGGTAAAATACAAAAACCTCCCCTATAGTTTCACTTTAGCAAAAATCTCCCCTCTATTTTTTAAAAATTCAACAAATACCTCCCTTTCGTCAATGATCAAGACGAAAAACATTAAAAAGATTCACTTTTTTCAAATTGCCTATGTTGCCCTTTTACGAATTGATGTGCACCTATTTTTACTAAAATAGCCCTGTCCAACCTTCCCTCTTCTTTAATTTCCCTTTGATTCTATCTCACTCTCCCCAATGTTGCAGCTTTTGCTTCTCTACTCCTCGCTCTGGCTATAACAACCACATCGGTGTCGTTGTCCCCAGAGAACACTGTCACCGACACTATAACTGGCGGCGAGCTTGCAGCAGACGTGATAGCCCTTCCCTCTGCGTACGGATCAAAGCCTAGCCCAATTGCTACCGCCCATCATTTCTTCTTCTCGTGTGCCCCAACTCCCGTCTTGGCTCATCTGGGGAGCGGTGTCAAGGGAATGGTGGGCTTCGGTCTCAACTGAATTGGGTTACCGTCACAACTTGCAGCAACGTTTAATTTCGATCGGAAGTTCACTATCTGTTTACCATCGTCAACCGCATTGGACGGAGTTATTTTCTTCGGCAATGGGCCTTATACGGTGGTTCCAGGCATCGAACTATCGAAGACACTTCAATTGGAGAAGAAGCTTGTACATTTGGATGTGGGTGCTTCGAGACTAGGGTTCAGTTCTTCGCTCTTGACCAGACAAACAACGTGCTCTGGCTTCAACCTCCATCCGATTCGCAGAGGCTCCTCATAGTTTTTCTCTCTCTTTGATTTATTAGGATTTGTATTAATAATCCTGCACTGCTTTTTGGACTAACTGCGTGAATTTTAATTTATAGACGTGTGAATGAAATTTTACTTTTTCCATCAAAGGAGATGGATGGGTTYGATAATTCAAAGGCACATTCCCAAATAACAGTATTACACCAAAAAATCTGGGGAATTCATTTTTAATCGAATATTCAAACCTCAACTAGAAACGGCGAAAAAGTTAATTAGAAAACTCACTCCGTTCTGCTTGCAATAGTCGATATCCGTCCAGTAGTCCTCCCCTTTGACGACATCAGCAGGTCAATACCGACTTGGTATGATGGCGGAGATCGATGATGTTACCACCACCCGTCTCACCCTACACTCCTGCGTCACTTTCAGCACATTAATCGTCCCTTTGATCGCCAGATCTAAAAGCTCTCTCAATTAATTAAATAAAATTAATTTCACCTGTTCTGCCTCAGAGCCTCCGAGAATGGACCTCAGGGTCTTTGACTTTATCCACATTGCAAGGGAAGCAAGGTGGAATACGCCGATGGTTCCATTAATCACGGCCACTAGAGAATCGTAGTCGAGAAGATTGATCTAGAAGAGGTGGAGACGAGACTCTTCTCCTTGTATAATCAATGTGCCATTTTCTAAACTCAATAGCAGTCAACCAGGTAGAACCAAATTAGTCGAGCGGGACAGTGTTCGAGTAGCATCATGAAGAAGAAGATGAACAATATTCGGGCAGCGTTGTGAGGAAGAAGATGAACAATATTCAGACAGATTATGGAATTGCTAAGATAGGGCTATTTTAATAAAAACATATGCACATTAATTCATAAAAAGGGTAAAAAACGTTTTCTGTCTTTGATCATTGACGAAAAAAAGGTATTTATTGAATTTTTTAAAAATAAAAAAGAGGTTTTTGTTAAAATAATAAAATTATAGAAAAAWTTTTTATGATTATCAAAAACTTCAAGGAGGTTTTTGTATTTTATTATTATTATTATTATTGTTGTTATTAAGGAGGAGAAACCCCACGTAGAGTTCACCAATTCCAATGTAACCGACCAACCACCCCTTATTTCTCTCAAATTATTTTTTCCGTTATTAATTTGCGGAATTATAGGCAAAATACCAAAAGAACCCTTCTTTTAGTTTTTTTTTGGTATCTCACTATCTATTCTTTATAATGATTATTAATAACAACTTTGCAAGTGCTTCCGAGTATGTCTTTTCTCTGAAATAATGAGGGTATTTTGGTACTAAAAATAAACCTGGCTAGAGTTTGAAGTTCCCAGGAAAATTGCCATCTCGCCATCTATCCGTTGAAAGGGATGAAACCTGATCTTTATTCAAACGGCATTTTAATCCACAAAATATTTCGAACCCAGAAATGGTTTATGTTTCGAGAGCAAGCGTAGATCAGCCTCTCCATCTCTTTCCATGGCGGCTGCTTCCTTCAATTCCCGGCTGTTACTTCTTTCATGTCCCAATTACTCAACTGGGTTCCATGGACGACCCAGAATCTCAGTGGCCAAACTTGACAAGACTGCGATGAAGACATCATCAGTTGCTTTCAGTATCAACCCAGCCTCACATAAATGGCCCCAAAAAGGGAGAATCCTGCTCCCAAGTAAAGCCATAGGCGCTGGTTCTAGGTTCTTGCAAGTGAGCCAGAATGAGTTCAGAACTCATCGTCAAATGCTCAAGAAACCCATGGGTGCGAATGGCGAGACTCTTTCTGTTGGATTTCAAAGCGTAAGTGATGGTTTCTCTGCCTTTTTAGGATACTGGGTTGATGCATGTTTTCTTTTGTGTTGGTATATACATATAATGGAGAAGTGTCTTCCAGGTTTTTGGGGTTTTGCATCTCGCCATTTCACTGGGGATCATCGTAGCGATGGATAAATTCTTGAAACGGGCCTTTGTAGCCGCTGCCATTAAGTTCCCAAGTGCCCTTTTTGGGATGTTTTGTGTGTTCTCCATTCTGATGATTCTTGATTCTGTTGCTCCTTCTGCTGCGATGGGTTTGATGAAGTTCTTCGAGCCGGCAAATCTGTTTATTCAGAGATGGCTCCCGCTGTTTTACGTTCCATCTTTGGTGGTTTTACCTCTGGCTGTGAAGGATATCCCTGCTGCTTCAGGGATTAAGATCTTTTTCATCCTGGGTATATAAATTCTATCCTGTTTCTGTTTCTTTGCAATCTAAATCTATTTGAGCTTGTGAAATTCATTCAAAATGCTACTTATTAGAATGTAGTATGGATGCTTATGGCTTGCGGTTTTCTCGGAATGGGACGAATCTTTTTCACCGTGCAATTGGATTCTCTGACTGGTCTATCAGGAATTATAGTAAACATGGGTTTTTGAGTCATTCAGTGAGTTTGCTTACTGTGACTGAAGTCAAAAGATCAGTATCTATTTTATGGAAAGCAATGGATCATTCGTATACATTAATGGAGTTCCACAAAAATAGTTCTTCGAACTGTAAACAACTAGCAAAACTGCAAGTTGCACAACTAATTTGTCCTCTCTGTTGTTGCTATCTTCCAAAAGTCTGAGCCATTGTCTATATTTCTATCAAACATTTCCACATATTATCAAGACATTTGACCACAAGAAACATGAAATTCTCTTAAAAGTATTTTATTATCTAACATCACAGCCCCTGTACTTGAAAAGGCAAATACCTATCAAATAAATAATAGAGCTACCAGATGCCATTTTAGAACGTCAGTCTGTTTTCCTCATATCCTCTGCATCTAACCAAGCTGAGAAAATAAGATCAAGTGTTCTAAACTTCCTACAATTAGTTTAAACTGTTATTTACGTATCTGTTGTAATCAATGTTTTTGATCAAGATGATAAAATAAGATCAAGTGTTCTAAACTTCCTACAATTAGTTTAAACTGTTATTTACGTATCTGTTGTAATCAATGTTTTTGAAGGCATGTGAAGAACATATGCACGCCTCATGCACCTCATGCACACCTCATACAGAAAGAAAGAAAAGAACAAGAACTTCTTCTTGTTCCTCCTCCTCCTCTTGAGCAGGCTTATATGTCTCTAGAGTTCTGAACTATGGCCTCACACCTCTGGGTAGTGGAAAGCCTCACATCACGCCTCTTTATTTTAAAACACTGGTTGTAGTAAACAATGATGTATCTTCTTAGAACATCTCCATCTTGTCTAATAATTGCCTAAGGCAGAATACTTCACGTTGATATCATGCTCATTTTTTCATCAATGAGACAAGTTCGCTTCCAATAAACCACAAACTTTGATATAATCCTTTTTCTTTAAATGGTACCTACTGTCTCTTTCTACATCTTAATGCCAAATAGCTCTCCATTGAGGGAAAAAAGTATGTACTTTCTGTGCAATGAATAGATTAATGGTCAAATAATATTATAGAGGATAGATATGATTAGTGAGGTTTTATAGTACGTTATCCTAGGTATTTTTCATTTCTTCTGCTTCATTGATAAATATCATTTACTCCACTAAATCCCACCAATGTTAATCATGTCCGAGAATGTTTCTTAAGCCACAAAAAAAAAAAACTTTTTCATTCTTATTTCTGTGTTAAAGGTAATAAAAAAAAAAAAAATCTGTTAGATCTGCAACTTAAGTTCAAACAACATACTAGAGAGACTTGCATCATCATTAATCTACAAGGATTTTCTTCTTAGGCTATCATGATCAACAACGTTTTCACTGACATTGTATAATTTATTAATAGACCAACTCTCCTGTGTCAATTATATCTCATAAATGACTTAACTGAGATGACATACCATTCTCAACTCTGGAGTCTTACCAATTCTGATGATGATTAGCTCTCTACTTCATCAGACTACCAACTTATCTCAGATATTGTCCTTTGATTTAAGAACATGAGATGTACAACTTATTTAGTAACCATTCCTTACTGCAGTGTTGGAACATGAAGTGGATACATTTTGAAAAAACTATAGCTTTATTAAATACCGTGTACAACCATGCCAGTTGGCATCAGAAATGGGGTTTTCTCTGATTGGTAAGGTCAGTGTGAAACAATTAACTTCAGTTTGCCTTTGTCCAGACTGGCCCAGAGGGTCCTAATGGACTCTGGTCAAGCCTAAAAGGAGCACAGACAACTCTATCAGTTCTGAGATAATATTATGAGATTCCACTCTAAGACTCTTCTTAAAAAAGACACATGAGAGGAGATTGAACTATCAGATTCATCCATAGAGATGACAATTTGACCCGTCCCCGTGGGGCTCCACCCCACCCCGCCCCAACTTTTGGTGACTGGGGACAGGGCGGGGATGGTATTTGTCCACCCCACCCCAACTATATTTCAAAAATGGGGCGGGGAAATTTTGGCATGGGAACCGGAATCGGGTTGGGATTTCTAGCCCTGTTTGACACAGGTCAGGGTATTTGAATTCAGGGTAGGGGACAAGGCATCCAAAACCTGGCCCCGCCCCACCCTGTTGTCATTCCTATTCATCTGGGGTTTCCAGAAATTGAAGCTGTTAGCTGTTAAGCTCAATCCTTCTGATACCTATCCGAAAGCCAAGCATAAACTCTAACCAGTAGTAACAACCACCAGTAAGATTTCCAGTTCTGTATTGACAAATCTATCAGAAGCCCACATTCCTTTTGATATCGTGGTATATTTGTCAAATCCTGATTCTTTTGAACTAGTAGTTAATGACTAGAGTTTTTTTCTCTTGCCTAGACTCTTGGTCTAAGAGATTGGTTTAATATGTATGGGACATCAGAAAATTATTCTTTCTCCTAGGACAGAGAATATGTTAGGTATCTTATCTACAACATTAACACTCTAAGGTATCTTCCATGGTTGATTAAAGAATAGTATATCACACACAAAAGTGGGAGACTTTAACAATCTCTAGAAGCTCAAAATTAGGCACCTCAAACTTCAGATTTTGAACAAAATTTTTATATCAATTAAGTCATTTTGCATTAGATCTCCAAATGGTTATTTGAATCATTTGAAGGTTCATTTACTTCTGATGACATGTTTTGTCACGGGAAGCCATCAGGATGTCCTAGTTTGAGTATCTTGAAACTTGTATGCTTCCTGACCAAGCTAGTTTCTGTCTTTTGGTTTTCATGCCTGATTGTCTGCATCCTGTTGGATGTTAACAGAGAGATATGCTAGGCTAGACTTTCATTGTTTCTGTAACCTACATACTCATGTAAGTAATATATTACAGTCTGATAGCCTTAGGTAATGTCCATATTGTATGTAACGAATGCTTAAATTGATAATTGATAATATTATTATTATTATTATTATTATTATTATTATTATTATTATTATTATTATTATTATTATTATTATTATCAGAAGATTTGTTTTAGCCATGTAAAACTGGAAAAATAATTATATTTTTCAACTTTGAAAACAAATATCTAAAGAAAAAGTAACTGATCTTGAAGGATTTCATCAAAACCAATATTTAGATCATGCTAATTTAGATTTTAGAACATCTAATGATGTAAGATATAGAATCGCTGTCCTCATTCTCAATTTCTTGTTGAATTTTGAGTAGGTAATTCTTTTTTTTTTCTTTCTACAAAATGAGAGGGGCTCTTCCCTTTGTTCTTTTGCAGTTGGGGGTTGGCTGGCTTCACTTTCTGTTGCAGGTTACACAGCTATAGCTGTAAGGAAGATTGTAAAGACAGAAATGGTAGCTGCAGAGCCTATGGCAAAACCTTCTCCATTCTCACGAATTGAAGTTTTGGCATGGACAGGGATTTTTGTTTCATCATTTGCTACAGCATTGCTATATCCAACAGCACTTGGAACAAATGCAAGAACTTGCCTTCCTTTCTTACTTGCAGCTACCGTGCTAGGTTACATGGTTGGCTCTGGGTAAAATGCTTCTTCCCTTTTATTATGTAAAAAACAGCATATATTTTAATCTTCTTGCAATGTCATTTTTCTTCACATCAGCCTCACTATGTTGTTTGGTTTTGTAGGTTGCCATCTGATGTCAAGAAGGTCTTCCATCCAATTATATGTTGTGCACTATCTGCAGATCTTGCTGCATTTGCTTTTGGGTATTTGTCCCAGTCTGGACTGGATGCTGTTCTAGGTTTAAAACTTTCTTAATGTCATAGCATCCTTTTGTTTATTTGTTAGTCCTTATCCTTATGTTTTTTGAGAGGTTAGATTTATTTAAACTATGTACAATAATTTTTAGAATTCCAACATCTTGCCAAGGTACCTACCAATGGATTCCCACACCATATGCACAGGGTTGGAACCTATAATTTGGAGATTCTCACCAGGACATCTTCTAGTCAAATATATTCTTCCTAATTTTATGGTCCCATAAATCTGGTTGTCAGATTCTTTTTGTGGACAACTTGCCATATTATTTCGGTCAAAATGGTGTGACAGTGAAGTCATTATCAACTGATTTGTTTGTTCAAGGATAGGAAAGATATTCTATGTGCGCTAATGGAGAATTAATCCACAAGTGCAAAATAGCAACCAGTTGTTCCAAGAATAGTCTCATGGCCCCATGTACATGTTTCCCCTAGCCTACAGTCCAAGGGTTTCAGAATGTTCTGGTTAACAATAGGGTTATGTCACAAGAAGACAAGATACTTAAAGTTATCTTAGGAATTAATAGCACTGGAATATGGCTTAATTTTTAAAGTGCATCCATATTGAACATCAAATAATCRTCTTACTGTGCACATCATCGTCATCATCTAAGCCTTGTCCCCACTTATGAGCCCCTAAATCAGTTTTTACTACTTCAACCCATGTTCTTTTTGGTCTGTCCCAATCTCTTCTGGCCCCTTGTAACATATCACTGCTTCTTATGGGTGCTGTATTCGATCTTCTTAACATGTAACCAAACCATCTTACTCTACTTTTCCCTATTTTGTTACCTATTGGAGTTACTCCTAGGTTCCTTCAAGTAAATTAATATCTAATCCTGCCCTTTCTAGTTTTCCCACTCATCTATCTCAACATTGTCATTTCTCCCACATTCATTTTTTAGACATATTGTTTCTTGACTAACCAATACTCTGCTCCATACAACATTGTTGGTCTCACAACCATTTTATAAAGTTTCTTTTTAGCCCAAGTATTGTTCTCCTATCACATAAGACTCCAAATGCACTCATCTATTTTGCCCATCCTACTCCAWTTCTATGGGTGACACCATCCTCATTCTCTCCCTTGCTATGCATTATCAAACCAAGGTAATGGAAGAGATCACAATGAGTTGCCAATATTACAATTCATGGTTACCTGTCTAAGGTGTCTGATCTCTTCTAGTTATAGATACTTTTGATGGAGTTAGGAGTTGACTTTGAAACACCTCTAATTTTGTATAATCAAGCATTCAAGCTGTGACTAGCACTAAGTATATTGAAGTTGGTCATCACTTCATCAGGGAAAAAGTTATGTTTGGTGATATTTGTTTGCCATTTGTAAATCAGAAGATCAATTGGATGATATTCTTAGAAAAGGAGTTGTGAAGGTACTAAAAGATAATATTTTCGTCAATCTGGGCATAATAAATATCTATGCTCAGCTTGAGAACTGTTGGGTTGTTGCCTTTTTTCATTATATGTTATTTCTTTATTGTGTCAGGGAATAATTATCCTTTTGCTCTCTTAAAAGAGGTAAATGAATGAGCATGTGCCCAGGTATTTTGGTCTCATTACATGACTCTTTTCGTCCTTTTTTTCTCATCTCTTTCTTTCTCTTCCCTTTCTTGCAATAACAGGGATGGAACCAAACCTACCATATCACCTCTTGAGTTCTTGGTTTTGATTTTTTATTCTTGAATCTAAGTTCTAGTTTTTTGACTTTTCCATGGACCTTGAACTAATTCATTATACTAGAAATTTAGTCACTGATCTTGAAGTTCCTATTGTATCACCTCTTGAAATCTTGATTTTGATTTTTGGTTCTTGAATCAAATTTTTTCTAGTTTTTTTACTTCTCCATGGACCTTAAAACATCATTCTAGTAATTTAGTTACTGATATTGAAGTTCTTACTGGAATCCTTGATTCTCGGAATCATTAAGCATGAACCTACATTTATCCTACATTCTTACATACATCTTTTTCCTTTTTAGAATCCTAAATACCATAATGATTCTGTTTTTTTTTACCAAAACCCCCTGTATCTTCTTTTTAAAATAGATAAGTCCTCTGCTCCTGAAATGCCAAAGTTGTTTCTAGTAAAATTTATGATCACCAAATGTAGGAATCATATCTTTCCTACTTCTAACCATAGAATGATTAGGATCTTAGATTTACCTGATAAACAAGTCTACAGGAATGCTAGTTATGAGTCATTGTCAGGTCTACCAGGCATATTCCTAATATCTTCTTAATGATAAGTGGTCTATGGCTAGTGATGCATGAGATTCGGGTAATAAGAACCTACAGTATCTCATTCAAATGCTGTTCAAATAGAATAACATATAGATGGTTTTCAATGAGACACAAATATTATTTTCTAAAGTTCCCAAATTGGAAAATTCTTATTTTTTTAGAAGAATTGTGGTTTGCTTCCTAATGTTCTATGCATATCAGTTGAGATTTTTATCCTTCTTCCCCCTGTAGCTAAAGTAGTAGTATCATCGTTTGTGCAGGATACTACCTCACAAAAGTATCATCTAATCCTGGAGCTGGTGACATTCTAATGGGATTTTTGGGATCTGTAATTATTTCTTTTGCTTTTTCAATGTTCAAACAAAGAAAGGTAACAAGCAATTTTCATTTTGTGGAGTTCAAATCTGTGGAGGACATGGCTGTTTCATTTTGTATATATTGTAGCTAGCTTTTAATTTTCAAGTGAACTTTATGGTATGGTTTGGTAGACCAAAGCATAACGATTAGGTAGAATTCATGCATGGATGGCACAACCATTCTTTGAAAAATTCCTTTGTCCAAAATCCATCAAGTTATTTGATCATAAGAATGCAACTAATGGCACCATATGGAAGGTAMGAAGGGAAGCCTAGGAATGTAAGAGACATACAAGATGGGATTATTTATTTGTGAATCCACCAGTATATGCACCATATGAACCAGCTTGCTGTGGGTATACAAAGAACACGTGAGGAGTCACTGATATATATATATATATATGACTGTTATCTGACTGTTGGGATGTTGGGATAAGGCATGGATGATGATGAATGTTATCAAATCTCCCTATTTAGTTATTGCCTAAATTGCCTGTTGGAAGAGACTTATGTTGTAATGTACTCTTTTGCAGCTTGTCAAGAGGCATGCGACAGAGATTTTCTCATCTGTGATCATATCAACAATATTCTCATTGTATTCAACTGCTCTCATAGGGCGTCTTGTCGGGTTGGAACCTTCTCTGACTGTATCTATTTTACCCAGATGTATAACCGTGGCATTAGCTCTCAGTATTGTATCCTTTTTTGAAGGTATAGTAGCCTTTTGATACTTGGTTGTCATTAGGAATAATCTTGTTTCTGAAGATATATTGGTTCCTAGTAAGCATAATTATTTTAAGTTCATCATATGAAATAGACCATAGTGTTCTCCATTAGYGGTTTGCAGGAAACCTTTGTAAAAAAGGGCAGCCCAATGCCTGAGGCTCCTAATAATGCGGGGTCTGGGGAGGGACAGATGTGCACAGCCTTACCCCTGCACATACATAGAGATGCTGTTTTCAAGATTTGAACCCTGGCCACCCAAGTTTACTTTTTGCAGGAAACCTTTGTGTTAAGTTTATTTATCCTGGTAGTGATCATATTTCTTGTTACAAACTAGATACTTGAATCAACAGGTAAGCCACATGAGTCCTACTTTCCTATTCCACTCTATTAAGGGTCAAACTGTCTGTCTGTTAACTTAATCATCAGATCTTTTCTTGGTACTGAATTCACATCCTTTTCATCCTCCTTTTAGCTCTTTTAGGACCCTTAACCTACATCAGATCATCCCTTGGTCTCTTACTGTTGCAATAGGTTCTTATAGGCAGATGGCAAACCCATCTACATTGACTTTTTCTCGTCCTGTCACCACTGCTGCTAATCATAGATTCCCATGAATGCACCCATTTCTAATTCAATCCTTGTCAGTCCAACAACTCATCCTTCTTAATATCCTCATCAGTGCTATTGTCTTGTGGATTTGTTGCTTCTCATATAAACCACATAAGAATTAAAATGCCTAATGACAGAAAACAGGTATTACCACTTTATTTTTCTGTAACTATTTCTTAAAAACAAGTTTGCTTTCTTTGGTTGCAGGTGTCAATGCATCTCTAACAGCTGCTGTAGTTGTATTAACGGGTCTGATAGGAGCAAATTTTGTGCAAGCAATGCTTGATAAACTTCGCTTGAGTGATCCTATTGCTCGTGGAATAGCAACTGCCTCTAGGTATGCACCTCTTCTTTGCAAATGATAAATCCATTTCTATTCATCAACCCAATATTGGAGCAAGAAAACCATGGGTCCTGCAAAGTGCAGAATTTTAAGCTTTATGATGTAAGCAGTAAATATTATGGTCCACAACCACATCTTTCATGCACTTTGTAGGACATCATATCCAGACCCATCATTTTGTGCTAAAGTATTGATGCCAACATGGTATATGACATGGGTATAAGTATAGGAAGTGTCAGATTCACTAATTACCTACCCCCTTTCGGTCTTTAGCATGGTTTTCAAAACTGAACCAGACCGGATGGTCAGACCGAAAAACCGGGAATGGGTCACCTGACCGGTTCCATTTTACCCCAAAACCGCTTTTGGGCCAAAAACAGTTGATTTGATCAGCAAACTGCTGACCCAGGTGGTCGAACCGTTGAACCATCAACCCAGACAACAGTTTTTGGCCATTTTCACTTTTTTTAAATTTTTAATTTTTTTTTTCTTTCAGAGCGGGCCATCTGTTCGGACCAGGTGGTCAGACCGTTTGGCCCGGGAACCGGACCCAAGAACGGTTCCCTGTCTAGTCCGGTTTTAAAAACCTTGGTCTTTAGTTTTGATGGGTTGAGTATGTAGGAGCAATATATTTGAACAAGCATCCAACATTAATTATTATACACTGTTAAAAAATGAAAATTATTGTACTTTCAAATCAGCACTATTTTGCACTATTTAAGATCAATTTAACTTTTTGAACCATAAACTTCTAGTAGATAGTTTAGTCATTAGCATATTGCAATTTATTTACTGCATCCTTCTGTTCCTAATCTTCTCTTTATAGGATTAATCAGTAACATAATGGAAATTTATTGATAATCACCAACTTCCTGTAATTGAATTCTTGTACATTATGTTTGACTTTAAGATTTCTAAATTTGTAGAAACATCCAATTTATAAATTATTGAATCTATTGTATGTGGATAAGTTCGGACCCTTAAAAGTACATTCCTGACCCATTTCTGCTACATAGAAGTTTTATTCCATGTTGTATAAAGTTTTAAGTAAGTCCACAGAAGAGAGCTTTCTTTTCAAGTAATATGGCCTTGATAGGAATTGTGTGTGTAGTTCAACTGTATCGATGTTCTGCAAACCTGTAAAGTGCTTGCTGGTATAGAGGTTTGGTCAGGTCTGAGTTAGGAATAGCCAGGGTGAAGGGGTAGACAGTTCAGCTAGGTTCTTCAGTAAAAGATGAGGTGAAGCTCTACTAATGAGCAATCAGGTTGAATTCTATCTACTCAAACTTAGGGAACTGGTAGGTTCAGATTTTTTGCCAGATCAGTTGACTGCCAAAGTGAGCGGTTCTATCAGCTTGTCCATTTTTTAAATAAAAAAAAAAGAAGGTAAAGGAAATTCAAAGTGCAAATCTATATATGTTAAAAGTTGTTTATTCTGCTTGTTGCTTCAGTGCTCATGGATTGGGAACAGCAGCATTATCAGCAAAGGAACCTGAAGCTCTCCCATTTTGTGCCATCGCCTATGCGCTCACTGGTATATTTGGCTCATTGATTTGCTCAGTACCAGCAGTAAGGCAGAGCTTGCTTTTTATTGTTGGGTGAAACTACCTGCCACTAATCTGTGATCATGTATGGGTAGTGGTATCATTACACACATCTCTTGGAGTAATTTTTCAGCTTTGCAGAAAAGATTATATTAGTGAAATGGTCTGGAAAATACAGCCCATCAGCATCAAGAGCATCAGTCTTTTGCAGTATGGCGTCCATAAGCTCAGATTTTTAGATCCAGTCATTCACAAGGAGACTATTGGATCCATGAGAGAATATAAAATAAAGAATTAAATTTTAAGGCTTTCACCTCATAGATTCATATTTTCCCTTAGATCTCTTTCCCATATGCCTTATTCTATGCTTCAGAAATTCAATCATAATATGCAGGAGGATCCTAGTAGGGACACTAATCTCTTGGCTTTAAATTCCACTTCAGTTGTAGTGTTACTGTCAAATTATTGTGAATCTCTCATAGAAGCTAGTAAATTGGAATTTCCTTAAGTGCAATAAAACCAAATGATAAAATTTCAAAACAATCAAGAATGTTTAACCTGACTATTCACAATAAAGTCCAATCAATTTATCATGCCTCATCGATTGGAGACCCAAAAAAAACCCCTTATTTGAAATTATTATTAAAAAAATATATAGTTGGAAATACCTTGACAAAACCATTTGTCATCAGTTAACCAAATCTTATTCCAGCCAAACAAGTAGACCTAACTGGATATGGCATCTCATAGATGAGCAATGCCATTACCAGTAATATTCATGGTATAGCCTTAAGTGGTACAAATGGTTTTTAACTCAAAGTGACTAAAATGATAGATTGAAAAAAATGGAAATTTCTCAAGCCAAAAGATAAAATATTCCCTGTAGTAGAGTTGTTAATGTGACTGCATCACAACACAAGGACTATTTGTAAAACTGATGCATTCAATATTTCTTGTGGATGATTAGACAGTAGACACCCCCCTCCCCCTGCTGAATTCTAATGCTACAGTAGTAGCATTAGCATTCTTCTTTGTGATATAGAGGAATACTAGTAGGCAGCTTCTGTGCAGGCACCATTTTCACAACTGGTGGATGTATGTGGTGGGGCTGTTGCCCAGATGAACTGCCTTATATATATATATATATATATATATATATATATATATATAAAGGGAAATTACTTAGTGTAATGGTAAAATCCCAGGCTTACAAGTGTGAGAAAGCAGGTTCAAGACTGATAGCAGCCATTTGCCCATGGCCCGATGGCTGAGATGTCCACTTGGCATCCTTCCAATATGAAGGCGCAGGATCGAACCAGTAAAACTCCAGGCTCTCTCATGGTAATGTAAGTGGACCTTGCGTGCTCCCTTCTCTCTTTACCACCCCTTAATCCCCTGCAACGTGTAATACCAAAAAAAAGGAAAAAAAAAAAAGAAACTGAGAGCAATCATTTTATGCAACAAAAATAAAACGCCAAAGGCAAAAGGTTAGGTTTGTATCTAGTCTACCCCTCCCAAGACCCAGATGGCCGGACCAACAAATGGAAGCAAATGACAATGGTACGTTCAAAGGTGTGTGTTTGCTTCTCAATAGCCCTTTAGAAAAAATATGGTACGTTCGTGTGATTTTCTCTTTTTTTTTTTACCTTTTTTTGGTGAAACAACTTCTTGAGGAGGAGAAGGTGCCAACTGGCTCAGTTGGTAAGGTCTCTAGGAGATGGGCTACCCTGTTGATCAGTAGCCCCAGGAGTCAAACTTTCTTGAGGGTCATTTTTGTCTCTGACAACCCCTCAACTTTGCGAAAAGGCCAATTTCAAATTTCAATCCTAATGAATAAAAAGGGTCATTTTTTACTCCCATACTTTGATAAAAAGGCCATTTGTAGGTAAAAACAGACAATGCTTGAAAACAGACAACACTACTAAAGTTTGAAAATGGGTCACCTTAATAAAGTTAATTAAGTAAATTACTTCAGGGTATAATTAAATGACCCTAAAGTATTTAATTTACTTAATTAAATTAACTAAGTAAATTAAAAAAATAAATTAATATAATTAAGTGAATTAAGCAACTAAATAAGTAAATTAAATTTATTAAGAAAACAAAGTTAATTAATTAAATTTGATAAAAAAAGTTAATTGATCTAAATAAGTAAATTAAGCCAATTAAGCAAGGTTTTAAAAACCAACCCAAAACGGAACCACTTTGGTCACTATTTTCTAGGTCAACAGTTCAATTTTTGGTCCAAATGGATCATCAACCCATGACATTTTGAAAAACAAAAAATAAAATATAATTAAAAAAATATAACCCCAAAACAATTTACTAAATCGAACAATTTAGCAATTCAACCATTTTGGTCAACAATTTGTCAACCAAGTTAAAAATCCCGAGCAGTCAAAGTGTTCAACCTAGGAATTGGTCAATTGTCTAGTTCCATTTTAAACCTAGGTGGTTGAACCATTCAACCCAAGAACCAATCAATTGCCCAATTACATTTTATAATTGGCTCAGAATTTTTCAAAAAAAAAAACATTGACTTGGTTAACAAACCATTGTTCTAGATGGTTGAACTGCTAAATTTTTCGAAGAATTAATGGTTTTTGAGTCATTTTTATTTTAATTATATTTTTTTAAATACCATGGGTTGATTCATTTAGACCGAACAACCCAACTATTGACCTAGAAACTTGTGACCAAAGTGGTTCCATTTTGGGTCATTTTTTAAATTACCTTGCTTAATTGGCTTAATTTACTTATTTAGATTAACTAGTAATTATGTACATGCATTGCACGTGAAATTTTTTCTTCATAATAATTAATTAAAATTTAGATATATCATAGTTAAGATAGAAATTGAAAATGAACAAAAGTAACAATATGATTAAAATAAACTTAAATGCTTATATTAAATTTTATATTTTATTTCCATTGTTGATAAAATTATCTCTTATGTATAATACTTATTTTTGTTTAATATAATGAATGTATAATATTAGAGGTGTACCCAATATTTTACGTTTTATAAATATATAACATTAGATAGGTACCCGAAATTTTCTCTATTTTTCTATTTTTTGTGATTCTTTCTGTTTTCTATTTAAAAAATTAGTATTTGACTATGACATCATTTCATTTTTAGGTTGATTTTAAATTTGGCATTTTTATTTTTATCCTTAATTAAAATACTTTTTACATTCCATACTTATTTTGTTTAGCATAATGAATATACAATATTAGAGATATGCCCAATTATTTTTTTGTATTATATATTTTATTAACCCGTTTAACCCCAAATAGTTGCATTGCTTACCCACCACCTAGAGCTAAGAAAATGGTTTGTTTTCAAAATATTTATGTTTATATTATTACAATCAATGTTGTGGATATAATTAGTAGAATTTAATGAAGAGAAAAATGTATCTTAAATATAGGATTTAATGAGAGAATATCTTTTATATATGGATTTAATGAGAGAGAATAAGAAAATAGTTTTATTTCCAATTGGTTTTCAATTTTATATTCAATTTCCATCATTAATAAAAACATTTCTTATTTATCATACTTATTATTGTTTAATATGTCAAATATATGATGTTAAAAATGTTCTCAATTTTTTTAATTTCTATATTTTTTGCATTTTATCTATTTTTGAATTTTATTATTTAATTCTAGCAAGATGGATTGGCCCATTTGACCCAAAATGGTTTAATTTCATACCACCACCTAGATGAAAATACTATTTTTTTCTAGACAGATTTTAAAAGTATAAGTTTTTATGTTATTAGAATTATTAATTTATTATGTATGGATTTAATTAATAGAATTTAATTGTGAGAAGAAACAAAAATGACTTAAATAAAGGTGAATGCAAGTTAATACCTTGAATATTGGATTTAAGGAGATGGAATCGAATGCATTAAATATCTTAAAATTACCAGTTTTCAACTTATTTAATATCAATAACCCATTACTCTATTTGCCCTCAATTTGTATCAACATTAAATATGGAGGAGTAATTTTTGTCCTAAAAAAATTCATAAATATTCTTAAGGTTGTTGGTGCTTTTTAAAGTAGTATTGATTAGCCTTGTTTATTTAATTTAATTAAATTAATTAACTTTATTTCTTTAATTCATTTAATTGCTTAATTTACTTAATTATATTAATTAATTAAATAAATTATATACTCTAAGGCCATTTAATTAATTAAGTAAATTAAACTTAATTATACTTTAGGATCATTTAATTAGACCCTAAAATAATTTGCTTAATTAACTTTATTAAAGTTGCTCATTTTTAAACTTTAGGGTCGAAAGTGGCTTTTTTCAAACTTTAGTAGTGCCACATAATGTTGCCTAAATGGATCTGTTCGTGTTGTTTCCAAATGTGGTATGATTTTGCTTACAAATGGTCTTTCTATCAAAGTCTACGGTCAAAATTGGCCCTTTCCAATCGTTAGGATTGAAATTGGCCTTTTTACAAAGTTGAGGGGTTCTTAGAGACAAAAATCCATGAAAAAAGTATTACCAACTCAATTCCATGCCCAAGAGATGGAGAAGTGAATATTCCTCACCATTAACTTGCAAAATGTAAGCAATTTAGGGGATTGAAAGGAAAATTAAATAAAAAATTGAGCCCATAGACAACAAAGAGACTACTTCCATCATTTTTTGATACARATATGTTATATTGATGCTTATCCTTTTTTTCCTGCATAATACACCACATGTCTAGAATATTGTCAATTCATGTCAATCCACCCCTCATTTGTAAAGGGTGTCTACGATTCGATTAACCAAACTATGGGCATATTTTGTAAATTGAACCGGTGGTACTAGTTTTTTCATTTCTCTAATCCGAAACCAAATCAGTACCACCGGTTAAATGGCCCTTCTATTTTTTATATTTATAATATAATTATATAAATATATGTATAATATTATATTATAAATAATAAATGATGCATAATATATTATAAATATTTTAAAAATATATAATATATTTATAAATAGATTATTCTAAATATAATATAGAAAATATGTGACATATATTAAATATATATATATATATATACATATACTAGTCGGTTCAATTAACTGCCAATTTTTTTGTAGGTTAACAAAAAATAGAACTGGTCCTTCAATTTTTCAAAAATTCTAAACCAAAACTGAACTGATCGGTTCGGTTAACCGCATTTTGAGATTCAGTTTTTTTCGGTTTGGTTTGGTTTGGTTTTTTTATTTTTCATGGACATCCCTACTCCACTGAAATGGGTCTCAAACACAATGTTCTAGATATGTGGCTTAAGATTCACCTATAAAGAAATGTATCCATGGCATTTCTCAAGAAGAAAAACACATTTAATGTTAGTGATTTAGTGTATGTATATATAAAAACAAAGCCCTTGGATGGGAAGGCTCCCCTTTTACATGTAGTCAAGCCAGGGCTAAATTAGCTTGCTTTTGGATATGCATTAGGATTTGTGTTTTTAAAGCCCTAATTTCAG